AATATTGTATAGTTAATTAACAATCGACTACAGTCAATTTTAAATAAAACAAATGCAACATACTTAACATAATTAATTACATAAATTTTTGCTACGTTCAAACTTCTAGTTTTCATATTTTCAACATAAATGAAATCTATTAAATAAACAAACTCAACTACAGTGGATTATTTTTTTTTGAGATCCAAAATAATTTCAAGTGAAAATGCAAATTCAAATATTCATTTTTCTTAATTCTTTTGAATTATAAGTCAATAATGTTTCGTTAACGTATTTCAAACAAACCCGAAGGTGAATCATTTATTTATTTTTATTCAAAATGAATTTTTTATCTGTATATTTTGTTTATTTTCAATTTTTTCTTAACAAAACGAATCATTATATTGTATTATTTGTATACATAAATAGTACCCGTCGGTTAGATTTATATCACTGAAAGAAAAACTCTTACTCGGAAGATATTTTATTATATAACGATCATATAAAATATGTTTAAACTGTTGTAAATTTAAATGAAGATTTAAACTAAAATTATTAATATTAAAAGTAGAACAACTTAAAACATGATGTGTATCTCGACGGACGATGTATTTTATTTTACTTTTCTAATATTTTGTCGCATTGTCCATGTCTCCCACGCATCCCGTCAGTTGACCATATCTCTTCGCCTTAGTTTGTCGCTCAAGCAATTCGAACACAATACCTTCAAGACAACGCCTCCTATTCCTGTCAAGCTACCGCTCGTGTAGGTTGTACTTACCGTTCGGTAATAACAATAATAATAATAATAATAATAATGTATGCATATAGTACATCGCGGTCGCTACTCCACGACGTCATTGTCGTCCCTATTGCAATGACAGTTTTTTTCAAAGACCGAACCCCCCAGATGGAGTATAGCTATTCCACCAAACTAAACTCTTATTATGTTGTCAACACTATCAAATAACTTACGACATTTAAATATCCTGGACGTTATCAGATTTTTTATTTCTCTAATACCAGAGCATCTCTTTTAAATAATTGTTTAAGTATTTATTTTTATACATTTCATTGCGGTGTCCATTATTGTAAAAATATTATGTACAACGATTGTAACTATAACAATAAGTCATAAATAGAAGTTTGTAGAATTTTTTTTGTTGAAACAAACAATTTTGATATTTAAAAACTAATGATAATTGAAAACCTTGTAAAATATATGTGAATACTAGTGGATCAAACGCTTTAATACAAAACCAGAGAACTCTATTTAAATAAAGTATTAGTAATATTATATAATTTTACTGTAAATACATAATCCATTGCTAATTAAATTAGTGATATTTTTATGAAAAAAAGCACAAGCAGAGCGACCCTGTAACTAAAAATATGGGAGAATGAAAAAAATACTTTTGCTGACTGAAGAAATTAATATTAAAAAAATGCATTTCCATATGCTGTACAATAACATTTTAGATTCGATACGAAGCTAATTTCCAATTTCTTTTAGCGATACGTCAAAAGATCACAAATCGTATCTAGTCTTAGATATTACCCTCGAAAATTGAAATAATTTCCCTCGTTCCCCGTAAATGGGGTAAACCTCCAAAAAAATTACAAATTTAAAATCGCTAATTTTCGAAATTTTTTCAATTTTTTTTTCTTAAAACTACCATTACTTTTTCAAAAATGAACAAATCAATATGATTCTTTTTTTATAAATGCTTGATGTCTTTACCTATCATTTGGTATATTTTTTTTATAAATTTAACCCTTTACTTACCCACGGGGGGAGATTTAAAATGACAACTTTTTCAACTTAATTTTTGAAAATGTTCCTGAAAGTCTGACACTTTTATATATACATCTTAAATTAAAGCTAATGTAATGTACTTTATTATGAAAAAAAAAAAATTTCGGACTTTATTTTGTCTTTACGGTGAAAATGGCTACCGAATACTATTTTGTGTGAAAATTCTCAATTTTATTTTTTACATATTTAACTTTATAATGCTATAACTTATTGAAAAGTGTATGGATCAACACAATTTTTTTATGAGAAATAATATTTTTTAATAATCCCTTATTCATTCGACATACTTTATCTTAATCAGGATTTTAATAAGGAAATAGCAGATCATGTAGCTTTTGGAATAATCCCTACCAATTTTTTAAAATTAAACAGTACCTTAAAATTACATCGAAGCGTTTTTTTTTTATAGTGATTTTAATCACTGTCAGATATTATTATAATTGATATATAACTATATCACGTCACCACTGTGCCGCAAACCCCTATGCTCGGTTTTTGACATTTTTTCAATTATTTTTACTTAAAACTGCCATAATTTTTGAAAAAATACCAAATTAATATCACTTTTTCTTTATAGATACATGATATCTTTACCTATCATATGGTATACTTTTTTTATAAATCTGACCCTTTACCTGCCCACAGGGGGAGATTTAAAATGACAACTTTTTCACAAAAAGTTAACTTTTGAAAGTGTACCGGAAAGTCTGACACTTATATATATATATCTTAAATTAAAACTAATGTATTATACTTTAATTTGAAAAAAAAAATTGACCTCTGGATTGGTCTTCATAGTAAAAATGACTACTGTATTCAAATTTTGCTATTTTTGTGTTTAAATTCTGGGTTTTGTATTTTATTTTATTTAAAATACCTGACAAGGAGAGTACACTGATTTTCATAAATATTATATAAATCAAATTAATATGGCATAGAAAGTTAAACTTATATAAATTTTTTTGCTTTTTTTAAGTCGAAAAAAATAACTTTAAAATTTAACTAGCTTAAATTGCCATTTTTTTCAGTCGACAGAAGCGACGTACGGTTGCCAAATCGGTAACACTTCTGTAAATTTCAAACTTGAAGTTTAACTAAAAGTTATCGTAACGAATTCACCTTTGTTATAAACTTTAAAAAAATCAACTTTAAAATATCATAAAAATAGGTTAAAAATGATATTTCTCATTAATTATTTTTAAAATATTAAAAATCAAAATCTGTAATATTTTAAAAACAATTTTTTTGTGTTTGTCAAGCCCTTCAATTTTTATACACGTTTGCCATAAAAGTAATAACTACTTTATAATTTTTTATAAATTCTCCGAAAAAATTACAATACTAAATTATTAAATATCAATTTCATACTATGTTGAATTGCTTAAATAGATATTTATTCATAAATTATATACAGAGTGGCCCACCACTCACTGACAACTTAAATAACTTTTGATCCAGTTAATATTTTTAGCTGATTTTTTTTTTAAATAATAGTTAGACGTTAGGTCTATAGCTATATCTCAATAATTAATTTCTTTATATTTTATTAAAAATATTAATTATTTTTAAATTTTAAATAAAATGTAAACAAAAAATTTAAGATAGCTATTTTGTAGAGTAGAATTTAAGAAAATTTTTAGTAAAAAAATATCTTATTAATATTCAGTAGTAAATATTCTGTAGCGTTTTAAAGTTTGTGAAAATTTGAATTTTCATGTACTATTTTACGGTATTAAACATTGAAATACGTATTGAGAAAAGGACAGAAGAAAACGCTATCTTTTCATGATTACTGTGTATACATATGATGATAATGTGTATACATTACAAACTTGGCATTAATACCATGATAAGAAATTAGATAAGGCAATTATTACTTATCACTCTCATTCAAAAGTATATTGAAAAGATAGCGTTTTCTTCTGTCCTTTTCTCAATACGTATTTCAATGTTTAATACCGTAAAATAGTACATGAAAATTCAAATTTTCACAAACTTCAAAACGCTACAGAATATTTACTACTGAATATTAATAAGATATTTTTTTACTAAAATTTTTCTTAAATTCTACTCTACAAAATAGCTATCTTAGATTTTTTTTTTACATTTTATTTAAAATTTAAAAATAATTAATATTTTTAATAAAATGTAAAAAAATTAATTATTGAGATATAGCTATAGACCTAACGTATAACTATTATTTAAAAAAAAAATCAACTAAAAATATTAACTGGATCAAAAGTTATTTAAGTTGTCAGTGAGTGGTGGGCCACCTGTATATAAATCAACTACTAATTAGGAATAATAATAGAAATAGGAGTTTATTTTTTTTTTAGAATAGTCAACCAATTTCTTAACATTAAAGACTATCTACAGATTTGCATCGAAGCGTTTTTTATGATAGTGATTAATCACTGTCAGATATCATCTATATTGGACTCAACTATATCACAGCCCCATTGTACTGGGTTTTAATTTTTAAAAACTTTTAACTTATGTAACCCACGAAATTTAATTATATGGATATACATAGGGGTAAAAGTATTTCATTTTTTGCGTATTCTGAAAACTACTAAATGGTAAATTGTATACTTTCTCAAAAAAAGCGTTCAATCATTAATTGAACATTGATTTCAATAAATATTTTTGATATCTTAAATAAACAATTAAATGTTCTAAAAATAATATCAATACATATCTTGTTTGTTAAAAAAAAATTCCTTCGGTTGATTTTTTATAGAATACTTAACGCGCTCTAGATAATAAAAACATAACTAAACTTATGACAACATTAAAAAATCGTTGTTTATTTTGCCACAGTTTTAAGAGAAAACTTATTTCCAGATGTATAGAATAAATTTATATAAAATAAAAATGTATATAAAATAAATAAATAATGAATAAAATATTATTTGAAGTCAAAAATTAAAATATAAGTATTTTTACACAGTATAATTTTAAAATAAGATTATTTATAAATATAAATAACAATATTATCATCAAAACAAAACACATACAAGTAAAAAGAGTATATATGGCACTGCAATTTTATAAGAATGAATGATAACATAAAACACAAAATAATTGTAAGAAAATTATTTTAACAATAATTTTGTACAACTAATAAATTAATGAAAAATAAACTTTAATTTTAACATAACTGAACATAGAAACGTAATTTATTATCAAACGTTGTTAAGTTCTTATATAAAATTAAAAAATTATTAACACCGGATTCGTTCCCAACTTCTTCCTTTCAAATTCTTTTAACTTCTAAAACGTGTCTTTTTCGTGAAAATCTTAAAAATTTATTATTTTTAAAGACTTACGTCGTTAAAAATATTTCAAAGAGTATGTATTAGATTTATTATTGCCCGAATCACCAAAAAAAACATTAAAGTTTTTCTTTTTTATTACAATAAATTGATTTATTTTTACGATGAACCAATATTAATAGTTTCTGTGATATAAATAAAATTAGACATGCTAATTATGTCTATATATTTTTGTACTAGTTATGTTTTTGTTTATTAATTTTAGAATGAACATTTTATTTCATCCCTGTAATATATAAATCATTATAATACACATTAAAACTATTTAGTTTTTACAAATGAAGTATCTACACTTTCTCTCAATAATATTCATTAAGTTTTTTACAAAAATATGTAATATGTTACATGTATTCTTATAAATTTTATACTAAGTTTTACTTAAATGTTAAGTAATATTTTTTTGTAAAATTTTTGAAGGTATCTACCAGTATTTTAGAAAAACAATACATTTTTCATCTAACTTAAATTGCATTAAATGTGTTACAATACTTAAAACTTGTAAAATCACCACTGAATATTTTTTACAAATTGACAATATATACCTAAATTATGATGTAATTTTTTTAGAAATGTCTGTGGAGCATCTAGTCCAAGAAAATGTTTGGCTTGACAAGTCTAAATATTCTGATGCAGAACGTATATACCATGAAAAGCAAGCTCAGGTATTATCCTATATCTATAGTAAATAAAAAATTCATTCATTAATGACTTAATATTTATAATTACTTATTCAAAATTTATATATCATAAAATGAAATGTAATTTGTTAAGATTTAATAATTAAACTATAATTAACATAATATTAAGTAGGTTGAAATAAAATAATCTAAAAAATTTTTAATCTGTACATTATCAAAAATATGTTATTTTTATATTGTGTTTTTAACAAATTTTATAGATTTTTCAATAAATAATTATGGGTTTTTGTATATGTATGCGATGAAAAAAATTTAACATTTATGAATATAAATAATCAAAAAAACCCAGAAGTAGTGACGTAGCATAGTTGGGTCAAGTATAATGATATCTATAAAGAAAACAATAATATTAATTTGGTATTTTTTAAAAAATTTTGGCAGTTTTAAGTAAAAATAATTGAAAAAATGTCAAAAACCCAGCACAGTGGTAACGTGGTATAGTTGTATCAATTATAATGATATCTGACAGTGATTAAAATCACTATAAAAAAAAAACGTTTCGATGCAAATCTTTAGATAATGTTTAATTTTAGCATTCGGTAGCCATTTTCACCGTAAAGACAAAATAAAGTACGAAATTTTTTTTTTTCATAATAAAGTACATTACATTAGCTTTAATTTAAGATATATATAAAAGTGTCAGACCTTCCGGAACATTTTCAAAAGTTAAGTTGAAAAAGTTGTCATTTTAAATCTCCCCCTGTGAGCAGGTAAAGGGTCAGATTAAAAAAAAATATATACCAAATGATAGGTAAAGATATCATGCATCTATAAAGAAAAAATTATATTAATTTGGTAATTTTTAAAAAGTTATGACAGTTTTTAGTAAAAAAAATTGAAAAAATGTAAAAAATTAACGATTTTTAAATTTGTAATTTTTTTAGAGATTTCCCTCATTTACGGGGAAAGAGAGAATTGATTTCAATTTTTGAGGGTTATGTCTTCGACTAGATACAATTTGTGATCTTTTGACATATTGTCGAAAGAAATCGGTTCGGTGAGAGTTGAGAAAAAGTGGTAACAGACACAAAAAAAAAACATAGTAAAGCTAATACCTTCTCAGCTTGTATCTAAGCTTAAATGTTTTTTACATAGCAAATTCATATTTTAAATGCCTAGTTACATAATGATGTTTTAATATCACATTATCACTCCCAATAATTTGAAAATTTCTCAAATAAAATTCTTTTGAGATAAACTTATTTATTTTTTATTCATTAAGGTACTTTTACATTGTTAGTTATGATTGAACTTGTAGCTTTTGGTATCTTAGTGAATTATCATTACTACCTCTCTATACTGTTGTGTGAATAATAAATATTTACAAGAATTTATATAAAAGACTTATTCAAAAAAAATTTGATAAATGTTGCTGTGCTGTAAATATGAAAACTGTTAATTTCATAGTTGTATTTCTATCTGAGGATCTCATATGTAGAATAAAATAGTATACCTGACAAGAGAAAATAAATTACTTAAGTTATATTAATGTTAGTTTTTACTGTTAACTTGTTTTATATTTACATATCTGTATTAAGTGTTTTTTAAGTTTTTTGGTGAAATATACAGTTTTGTGTCATGTTTTTGTTTATAAAATCAGACATTTTTAAATTGATGATTTCGATAAGTTTTTATCTCAATAATAAAGCTATGGAAAAACATTTGTTAGTAGTTTTTAACTACTAACTAGGAACTGCTATAGTAATAAACATTCATCAGTAAAGCTGTAAATTAAAATATACTGTTGAAGGTTATGTAAAAATATTGATATTTTCTGAGTACTATTTGGAATAACTAAAAATACAATTTTGATTTATTTAATGTACATACATTTTTAAAAGGTGAAGGCTAAAATTACTAGTAATACTATAACTGCTATGAGTGCTTTACGGTTTATTGCGATTTTCTTTTTATTAACTTTTGGTTATTGGATCATTTGATTTTTATTAATTTTATCATGTAACTTTTTTTTCAGTTTAACTACAATAAAAGACTATAGTGATTGAATGATTTTCAAAAAAAAATTTATTTTTATTAAAGTAGAAACTAAAAATTCTTGTATTTTGAAATTTGTTCCAATACTTTCTTAAAATTAAAAAAACCATAAGATAATTGGTGCAGAATTCTAAATACCCATTCTTTTACTTATATAATATATATATATTTTTTTTTTTTTTTGAAAATATCTGAATCACCATTGTCTCCCTTTCTTAATTGTGGAAGTTATTTCTTGTTATTTATTCATTGTAACTCTCATATTTCATTATTTTATAAAGTTGTCTAAGATGGTGTTGATATTAATTTTTTTTTTTCAGTTACCATTTTCATATATTAGGATTAAAAAACAAATTGATAAAATCCACAAAATTTCCAAAAAATATATATATTTAATAATTTATGTTAAATTATAAAATAAAATATGTAAATCATATCTTTAGTTTATTTTATGTCAATTAAATTGGTAGAAAGAATACAGTGATCATTTCTTGGTTCTTAACCAAGTTGTTTTTATTAATGTGCAAAATAAACTTTTATTTTAATAGAATACCTGTCAAGTCCCGGGAAAGAAAGTGTTGTTAGCAGAAATTGAAAAAGCACGTCAAATTTTACACGACAAAGTTCAAAATGTAAGAAAATTTCTCCAAAAAATAATTATAGTTACTAATAGACTGTTGAAGAAAGCACTGTATTTCTTACATTTTAACAAATTATCTAAAATTTAACAAGCTTTTTATATGAAAAACTTATTATTCAGATTGGTTTCAATTTTTATATAATCATATATAAAAACAAATCCCTATCTCTACCTATTTGTGCTAATATGTTATAATTTTAAAAAGAATGACATACTTAGAATATGACATTTTATAAATTTATTGAATCTAATAATCTAATCTGCTTTGTAATAAGTTTGCTTTACTGTAAATAACTAAATTAAAAATAATTCTTCACTTCTCAAAGTTTAATTTTTTCTTAGAAGTTAATATAATTTTTTTTTTCTGAATAATGTATATCAAACATCTTATCTTATAAAATATTTAGCTAAGTACAATATTATGATACCTAAGTACTTGATCAAAGAGGCATAAGTATCCCTAATATACTTTCCTTGGAGTTATGGAACTCATTTTAACAAAGTTAAGAATAATTTGTTAATATAGGTAATTTTTTAATTATATGTTATTTAAAAAAACTTTTTTAATCTATACTACTACCCTCAAAGTATTTTTAAAAAAGTCATTTTGATTGAATATTTATGAATTATTTAATGCTGTTTTAATATTAAATTAATGTTTTTTCACCATTATTAAAATTAAAAAATACTTGATGAGTATAAATTACAAAAATGTAAAGGCTTAGTTGTATTATTATTTTCATAATTTATTTGACAATTTTTATTAACTTCAATTAAGTAACTCTTTCATTATTACCATAGTTCACTGCTTAACAATTATCAATTGATTGTAAATGCTATTATTTATTAACTTTTGCTAACCTTTTCAATTTTTTTATACTTCATAAGCTACACAATAACTAAATTAAGTTAAAACACTGCATGCAATGCATTTTATTTTTAGTATAAAAATAAAATTTGGAAGTGTAAAAAAAAATCATCTACATGTAAAGTATTTAAATATTTACAGGTAAATGAACTTGAATCATCTAATATTTGTCCAAGTAATCAAACAAACAATGGTAATTAGTTCATAAATATTTACTATTTTTATTATTATGTTTGAATTATTAAAGTATATGATGACAAAATCTATGTATTCTCCATTCTCCATAGTGAAGTAAATATAGGGTATGGCACTGGAATGTGACACATTTTATTGCACCACTGCTTGACACATGAATGGGTGAGGGAATTAAATAAAGTATTTATAGAGAATTGGCAGGTAAATCAACGCTTGTTTCTGTGACGGCTTACATTGAAACGTAGTCTGTTATTACGGTTCAAAGACGATTTCGGGCTGAGTTTAATATCCCAAGACAAAGTTGCATTCCATCGCAGAACATTATTTTACAATGGTTGAAGAATTGGAATACGCATGGAACTGTCTGTGAAAGGTTTGCTGATTCTTCTCGTACTATGCGAACGCCAGAAAATATTCAAAGAGTTGAAGAAGCAGTAACAGCCAGTCCAACACGTTCAGCGAATAAACATGCAAGGGCTCTAAACCTATCAGATCATACTTCCTATCATATCGCCGTATTTTGCATGATGGTCTTAAGCTTCATCCCAATAAAATATAGATTGTGCATCATTTATCCTACAAGGTTTACTTAACTGACTTGCATGTTGCAGGGAATTTGTAAGATTGTTGAGCGAAAAACCAGATCTGTTGGATAATTTAATTATGTCGGATGAAGCTCATTTTTATTTATCGGGTTTTGTAAATAAACAAAACTTTTGATATTGGTGCAGAACAACGAATGCAGTTGCATGAGAAACCTTTACATGCTGAAAAAATTACGGTTTGGTGTGGTATTACAACATTTGGGATTATTGGACCGTATTTTTTTTGAAGAGAACAATCTAACTGTAACCTTTACCTCGGTGCGATATTTGTAAATGCTACAAACATTTCTTTCTGCCGAATTGCATAATTGAGAGGCGAAGATAATAAAATATGGTTTCAACAGGATGGGGCAACTAGTCATACCACTAGAATAGATATGCAGTTTTTAAGGAATAAGATTCCCGAAATGGAGACCTTGCCTGGCCAGCACCTTCTCCTGACTTAACAGCTCCAGATTGTTTCTTATGGGCGTACTTAAAGTCTAAAGTATAAGAACAACATAATTGAGGAGATAAAAAGAATTGAAAGACTTCGAAGTGCGGTTATAAACCACATCCAAGAAAATATTGAATAATGTATAGAGTTTAATGGTGGACATTTAAAATCTATAATTTTTAAAAAATAATAAACTATTAAAAACTGCATTCAATGAGTATTATTTTTCAGATTTTTACTTCTTTTTACAACAAAATTTCTAATCACTACAGTGTAGCAAAAAACATCACATTCCACTGCCGGACCCTGTACTAATAAAACATTGACCTTAAATTTCTTTGGGTAACATATTTAATTAGTTTCAAAAAATAGCTATGACTTAAAAATTATGTATCTACAAAATAGTAGTTTTATGTAGCAATTAATTTTAAAAATAAAGTAGTTACTCATCTTGTAAATTATTTTTTAAAGTACAAATCTCAAAATTTAAATATTTTTTTGTATTAATTATCAAAAATTTTAACTTAAATCTTATTTCTAGCAAATAAGTATAATAGAAAAATATATAATGAATACATGGGTGCGGCATAAATATTCATTATTTTTAAAATAGGATAACTTATTCTAATAACTCAATTTTTTTTACATTTTCTAAAATCTCTTATTTAATTGTGGAATTTGCATCTATCAAATGATCATCTCTGGAATTTTGGCAGACATTTATTTACTTATTGAGTTTAATGATAATCTATTAATTTCACCAATTACATATATGTCAAGTCAAAATTTAATAAAAACATTGCAAATTATTGTTAAACTAAAGATGTGTCCTAGACCTTAAGGGGCTCATCTTAAATTTTACTAGCCTAATTAGTAACATATAGTTTTTTTCATAGTACCACAACAATCAATCCGTTTCTGACTAAATACAAAAATTAAATAGATAATAGATAAAATTAACAGAACCTTCTGTGACTGAGTAAGAATTAAATCCAAAAACTAATAACTGTTTATCAAAACTCTAGGGATGATCATATGCTAGATGTAATTTTTCAGCATTCGATCAAAGATAATTGAGAATGTAAATAAAAAATTTAGTTAATTTTTTAATGAGTTATTCTATTTTCAAAAAGAGTTTATACACTCCTGTATATATTTTCAAACAAGTTATACTCTATTTTAGATAAATCAAATTTCATTACTTTTATCCAACCAACTTTTATGTTCTGAAATTAATAATATCAATCTAAAGAGTTCACATCAATTGTATAAATATGTTCATTTTTTAAAATAAATGTTATAGCTATTGCTGAGTTGAAAAATGCTTTTAAAAACTTGGAAATTCGGGTTAGTGTATTAGAAGGAAAAACACCTTGTGTAAGTATTACTAAATAATAATTGTTTTTAAATTGTACTATCTTTTGGTGATATCAGTTAATTTTTAACTACTTGCTTCATTATCTATTGACATTTTTATGAAAAATTGAAAAATTATTTGATAGCTATTTAGCTTTGATGTTAAACTGAGAATATATTAATTATACCATAATATTTATTTATTCATTTTTTTTTTCTTGTCGCTACTTTTTCCATCTCTCATTGAAGCAATTTTTTTTTTTAAGTTATAAAAACAAAAATGATATAGTTAAAATTATTAATAATGTAGCACTCTAAATAATAAAATAATGTAAACAAATTCTTTAAAAAATACAAAATAATGTATAATTATTATTGTTTTAGAATACCTTGTCAAATTCAAATTCATTAAACCAAGGTAACCTCTTTTATTTATGTTAATTATTTATTATTTTTAATATATTTTTTTGTTTTTTTCTTCGACCTTAGATATTCTACAGTTGCAAAATTTATTGAAACAACTAGAAACCCGAGTCACTACATTAGAAGCTAATAAATCATCTACTACCATGATTAAAAATAAAGAATCTCCAAAAAAAGTTGAAAAAGATGACGATGATGATGATGTTGATCTATTTGCATCAGAATCCGAAGTAGTTATTAATAAAAATACATATATATTATATTGCTTATTCCTTTCAATAACATCATATATTAAAAAAAAAATTTTTATAGGAAGTGATTTTAATTATTAATTATGTATGTAAGTTAATTGAACAATACCTTTTCAGTTTAAAAGTAAATTAAAATAAATAATTTAATTTACCCTCAAGAAGCTAAGTATTAAATTTTAGAATAACCATTTTACTGAAATATACTTCTCATTCTAAAAAAGCAAAACTTAAAAATATATTTTGAAGTGTGATGTTTTTTAAATAGAGTAAGCAATATATATATTATTATTATTATTATTTACTATGTAAATTTCTTAATTACTATTTAGGAAGAAAGTGAAGAAGCTGCTAAAATCAAAGCACAGCGTGTAGCTGAATATGCTGCAAGGAAGTCTAAGAGTAAACTTTTTAATTTATTATTATGAATTTTTAGGATTAATTTTAATAAATTTAGTTAAGATTATACATTATTTTAATAAAAATAAAAATTTATTGAACTAATATTAACTTATAAGTTATCTAAAAGCAATAACATGCATCTGAAATGTTTCAATTTTATTTTATTTAATCAAAATCTGCAAATAAATATTTTTTGTCATGACTACATTTATCATGTTCATAATCTTTTAAAATTTAAAATAATGATAATGCCTATTAGGCCAAGAAAATGTTATGAATTGAATTATAATTATAATGTTTAAAACAAAAAATTTTGTAGAAGCTTAATCAAAAATTGAAAAATATATTATATCCAGGATTATGAATTATACGCATTTGTAAATTTTGTTAAGTTAATCCGAACATCATCCAGTACAAATTATTATTAATTGACTTGAAAACTTAGTAATGTGTTTTTTTGGATGTCATAGTTTTGGGGGATTGAAATATTGAAAAATATTTATAAATGCATATAACTCATAGCCTTTGTGATATAAATATATTTAAAATATATATACAACTTATAAAGTAAAAATAATACTTAATAAAACAAAACATTTTTTTTTAATCTTATCTAAAATTATTCTAAGTATGAAAACAGTAGTTATTTGTTCATATTAAAAACTGCTTATTATATAAATTATGTTTCAAACCCTTTTGACGTTAAACATAAAAATTTAGTAATCTTAAATGAAAGAAATTGAATAAGGTGTAATATTTAAAACATTATAACATATAAGTTATATAAAGTTTAAATATTTATTCATGTTAAATTCAATTATATGATATTATCATATACTTAAATGATAAACAAAAAAAAGAAATTTAATATTATCTCTAGTGTCTATCATAGTTTTAATTATGATTTTATGTATCTTTATAAGCTCTCTTGTAAAATTTTACGTTTAAAGATACTTATAACTGTTAGGATAGTGTAATGTAAATAAAATATACCTTGAATTATCATAAAAGATATTAATCTGATTTTTACACTAATCATAATTTTATTTGTAAATTTTTAATAAGCTTATATTCAAAGAAAATAAGATTAATAAATTTATTATGCATTGAAAACATTTGTTATTTTTAATATATATTTAAAATTATGATTACTTATTATGTAGCATAATTATTAATAATTTTTTTTCTTATATTTTAGAACCAACTCTTGTTGCGAAGTCTAATATAATATTGGATGTAAAACCATGGGATGACGAAACTGATATGAAAGAATTAGAAAAGGAAGTTCGCAAGGTGACAACAGATGGATTATTATGGGGAGCATGTAAGAATTTCATATCTAAAAAGTTGCAAATAACAATATGAACCAAATTGTTCACTTTTATTTATTTTAATATTTTTTTCTTTTAAACTTCCAAATCTGATTTATATTAAAAAAAAAACTATTGCACAATCCTTATTCTATGTTTATAATAATAATAATAAGTTGATACTAATATTTAAAATTTTTTTATTTTCGTAGAAAACAATGCTAAATAAATTGTTTATATTTTTGCATCATTAATAGATAAAATTAATAATTTTATTGTTCTTTATAAATGAGTTATTACATTTCTTAATGGTTAGTTTAAATTTTTCACAATCTTAATCAATATTATTATTATGTATTATTCTGGTATTAACAAGTATGGATACCTTTAAATGTTAGGGATTATTATAATATTTGGCTAGAATTTTTAAAAATTGATTATACCTACTATATATGAGTGTAAAGACTCGAGAGGAATTAGGATAACCATATAAAATAATAATTATTATTTTAAGGAACCTGTCAACTTAATTTAAATGTATATATTTTTTTGCAGCAAAACTTGTACCTTTAGCTTATGGAATACATAAGCTTCAAATCAGTTGTGTTGTGGAAGATGAAAAAGTCTCAATTGATTGGTTACAAGAAACATTGCAAGAAATTGAAGATTATGTAAGCAATTATATTTTGTTATTTTTTGTGAATAAAATTTTAATAAAATCTATAAGTTTATTTAAAGTTAATAATTATATTTATGCTTTATATTTTCAGGTTCAAAGTGTAGATATTGCTGCGTTTAATAAAATCTAAACAATCATATACCCAAATAATGTATAAATTAACCATCATTAAAAATAAATTATAATTTTAATAAAAAAAAATGTATTTTGTGTATTTCTTTGTTTTCCTTTTTTTAAACACATGCTTCATGAAGGAACATTGTGAACTTCCTGAAAGAGGAAAAGGTTGGGTTGGGTTTAAAGAGATAACTTAACCTGTGTAGACCGCCCTAAAGTAATCCCTCACGGCAGTTTCAGGACGGTTCACAATTATGCCTGTCGTGGAAAAAAAAGTAACTTAACCTTCTATACTAAGGGATTGGAGGTTAATCGTCACTAGTGATGGGAACGATGGTGACTTCAATTACTGAACTGATATCTTGTTCAGCAAAACCAGTTGGTAGCACACAACCGTTATTCTGTCTAAAACTTGCATTGGGCATTGTTGTGTTACTGACTCGGCTATATTACTACTGCTTGTTTTTCATTATTTATTGTAAAATACGTATTTAACTTTTTTACAAGTTGAAACAATAAAAAAAAAATGATTTTTAATCACGTATCACAAATAATTAGTAGTATTGTCTCAATATGTGTGATCTGATAACCTATTATTTTTATATAGTGAATCAGTTATATAGTTAATCCTACAAGTATAAATTTTATATTTTAAAAAAACTGAATATTTTTATTTCTTTACTTCAAAAAATCCTAGAGTTTATAAAGAGACTTAAGAGCCAAATAGAACTACATCAAACAATCTGCTGCATATTTCCATAGATATGTACAGAGAGATTCATGTATTATGTCTCGCTGAAGTCGTTGAAAAATCAATTTAGTATTTAATTTTTTGTTTTTTTTATGTGCATGTTTTTCTCAACTTATAAATACTAAAATATTTTTATGTTTTTCCTTATACCTTACAAATTAATCACTCTGTATACATTTTATTGTGAATGTTAAAAACACAGACGTATTCCATCATTTTGAAGATTATACCATAAAAATAGTTTGAGTAATACCATAATATTATTATGTAACCATATATTTTTGTATTATTAGTTAATACCTGATATTACTAACGAGTAACTAGACAGCAAATAAATTTTTAAAAAAATCTAATTAACCGTAGTAATTTAAAAGTGATTTTTGTAGTATTTAATTTATGGAGGCTCTAGTCAGCATATAATCGCTAGGCTCGATTCACAATTGATTTACTACATATATGATCATTTTTATTCATAATTTTTTTGTACAGTTCCAAAACCACAAAAAAAGAGCGTGAGACCTTCTTTGCTCAGATTGTAATTTTGATACGCAAAAAAAGCATTGTGTCACACATTCCAGTGTGAAGTATATGAGTAATGCTGTTGACCAAAACGTAGAGTTAGCCCCTCCAAAAATTAAAAAAAAATCTCAAATAATTCTACATGAATTATTTTTTAGAATAGATAAATATATTTAATTGATTATTCTCCATAATATATTTATTATATATAGCATTTTACAATATGATTTAATTTTCACTATTTAACGTAGGCGCAAAAAAAACTATAAATGTGTAATGATTTCATGATAAAATAATTTGTACATTATTAATCCACTAAAAATATTGTTTTTTAGACATCTGTTGGATTATCAACGGAAATGAATCAAACTACATCAAAAAATGAAGATACTTATGAGAAACAAATCGATTATCCAGAATTATTCAATAAAATAATTGAACTTCATAAAAATAATTATTTGTCAACTACTTTATTGAACTCAATTACTTTATGGGATACGACTGTTGAAAATCAGTTTAAAAAGATTCATTCATTTGAATGTGCTGTGTGCTATATGTATACTGATATATTTAATGAATGGAAAGTACATATTATGTCAACCTCACATATATTAAAATGTCAACATTTTGAAGATCTATATTCTCATCCATGTCCCAATACTAAGAGTCGAAAGCTTCTTTATGGTGATATAAATTATTTAAGAAAACATATTTCTGAAAATCATGATAATTCCACTGCTATAAATAATATGTCGATATTTTTGTCTAAACAATTGAAAAAACATTTTTCAATTAATAATATACCCATTAATTATTGTAGTCACTGTAAAAAGTCTGATTATAATTCTATACATTCATCCAATAATTTACCATCAAGTTTAAAGAAAATTATTAAGTATAACTGTAATTATTGTAACGTGAATTTTATATGCTCTCCTGAAGCTCTAGATATTCATTCATTAAGTGTAGAGCATTTACAGCTGAAATGTTATTACAATGCTATTACTATTAATGGAAATATAAAATTAACGAAAGACAATAAATGTTTCAAACATACCACTAAGGATACATTAAATAGTATTTACGGAAACATAGATTTGCTTAATTTTTGCAAATTACCAATTATAGTTTTAAGGCGATTTAATTTTGTTTCACAAACATTAGCTTATTGTAACTTATGTCAAGTTTCAGTTGATGTGACCAGTAAAGATCTCCTAAAACACATTAATTTATGCGAATATAAGTTTGATTTGTCTGGTTCTAACAAAACATTAATAACAAATTTTGTTTGTGAAATTTGCACTTATAAGACCAACAATTTCTCCAACTTTAAAGATCACGCTATTCAAATCAAACACTACTGAAATCAATGTTGATTTATATTCTTATTTTTGTAATATATGTAAATGTTACATTTATGGCAATAAATTCCACATTGAAGCGCATTGTAAAAATGAACATGAAGAAAACATATCTCTTTATTTTCCTAAGATTACTATATTTATGTCAATGTTATTAAAAATTAAAAATTAAATAGACAATTTTGATGAAATAATTGACTATTGTGAAAATAAGTATAATGATAATTATGATTATTCTACTACATCCTGTAAAATAAATTTTTTTTATTGTCAAGTTGAGTATTATTTGCACCAAATAACATTTGAACACATCATTTTAAAGTATCTGTTACCAAAAAAAATTCCAATGAATGACAATTATACAGCAATTGCTTCAAAAAACACTGAACTAGATGTCTTTAATGAATCGAGTGAATTTATTTCCAAAGTTGATGACCTATCAGAAAGTAAGTTAAATTTTTAATGAAATTTATTTGGTAATATCGTAGATATGATGAGAGAAAATAGACTTAGGTGGTTTGATCATGTTATAAGGATATATAATCGAAAGCTGTAAGAACAGTTATGGAAATGTTAAAGGAAGAAGAAGTAGAGGAAGACCAAAAAAGATATGGCGTTGTTGTAGAATGAGATATGAGGACGGCTGATGTGTGTGTAGATAATATGGAGATCGTGTCAAGTGGAAGGTTTTTTCACATACATGTATGGGATTAGTCATTTATATTAGTCATTTGATCATATTAAAAAAATGATTATTACAGTGAGTTATATTTCGAGTACTTTTAACATTAAACGTGAAAGTGTAGTAACGTTTAAACGTTAAACAAAAAAAAGTTAAAATGTTGAATATCATTAAACTTAATTCTAAGATAACGTTGAAATATATTTAAACGTTAATCGAAAAAGAAATGTTCTAATCCGATCTCTGATAAATGTGAAATAAAAACCTTGAGAACGCAGTAAGGATTTTGTCTTGGAAGAAAATGTAAATGAGAAATCTTCATTGTGTGTTTATATTATCATAGTTCTGGAGATCTGTTCCCCTTAACTATCCATCCTTATAAGTATACATATAGTTTATAAAATATAAATAAATTTAAAAATTAGTATATTTAATTTTTAATTATATTACAATATCTATTTTGAGAAAAATATTAGACTTTAATTTAATAGAAATTATAAAATATTGTAGATAGAAGATTTTTAAAAGAATTGTCATTGTATTTAACACCCAAAATGATTCCATCAATGAATAATAAACATATTGCTACAAAAATCATTGAATTTGATGAATCATCAGAAAGTAAGTTTATTACATAATTAAAATAACCTTACCAATTTTTATTCATTTTAAAAAATATGGCCTTTTTGTGCTTCCAAAATGACTATAAAGCACGCCCTTGTAACGTTGAGCTTATGACAAATCCCACAGCTTTTACACCTTCATTATGACTCTGACAAGGCCAAATCAAGGTATTTTGCCACTCCGGACTATAAATATTGCCTTTTATATTTTTTAATACTTTTTTTACGGCACGCAATAACATTATTAGGGTTTTGATCTGAGGGATATACATAAGAAAATTGATAACTAAAAGGAAAAAAAATGTCTCTTAATCATATTAATATTTTTGTTTTAAAGGTAATTCTCACGCTCTCATTTATGAACTTATTAACTTATATTTTAAATAAGAAAACCTACAAATTTAAAGATGCCTGGTAGGATTATCCACACGTTAAGCCAATCTTCAATTGTTATGAATAGAATTTATAATTACACTTCGTATTTATTTTTCATATGCGGTTACAGAACATGTCTCATTTTAACAACCAATATTCTTCTGTTTGTTAGGAACCAGATTACGTGATAAAATAAATGTATTAAAAAAATGTTAATAATATCACTTAAGATATTACAATTCATTAAATATACAATGTCTTTGTAAATATTCTAATATGTTTAGGTCAACAGTCAACTTCTAGCGGTTTAACATACTTATCATTAGACGAAGAAAAAACATTTGATCCAGAAAAAAATGACAATAATTCCTCGTTTTTATATTGTTCGTTATGCTGTACATATTTTGAAAATCAAAGTATTGAAAGTCACAATCATTCAGTTGAACATAGAGTGCTATCACAATTAGTTCAGTCATTAAGTCCATCAAAAGACACGTTAATTTATCAACTTATGTTCTCGAATATTTTCCATCATAGTTTAGCAACAACTTCTGTAAATGAAAGAAAAATGTTTAATTTAAATAAATTAAAAAGTAACCTATTCAAACTTTTAAATTGCTATGTGTTAAAAGAAATTTTTTTCAGACTTCATCATTGATATACATAAAGAAAGTAAAAAATGCATTGAAATACTTAATTGCGCAGAAAGTCAAAGGCATATCAGTATATGCGAAGAAAATAACTTCAATAATAACCCAAATTATAATTTGTCTTCTAATTTAAGTGTAAAATAAAGTACATTATTACACATAAGCTTTTATTAATCATAAAATAAAAAACATTGAATTAATTTTATTTATTTCAGAATATTAATTCAAATGACAATAATTGTATGGATTTAGAGTCAAAAAAAATATCATCTAAATATTTAACAGTACCAAAAATATTTTTAGATGTATCTACTAATACTGATGAATTTAATATGGTAATTTAACATTTTAATACAGTATTAACACAATATAATAACTTTTTTTAGTTTTTAACTAAATTATTATAAAATTATATAATAATTTTATTATATTTAAATTACAATTAAATTCACTATTAGTTAAAAAATTAATAGAATATTAATTATTTTTAATTATTATTCATGTGTATGTTTGTATACAGAGTGATCGGTTTATCTTAAATCACTCGGTTACTCGCAAAACAAATATAATATTGAAAAAAAAAATTTGATTTCTTTTAATTGTATACATTTTTCGATTTATCAACTAATAATGAATTTTTAGAATATTCCTCTATAATTTAAAAGGGTATCAACTTTAATTTTTAAATGGCAATAACGTACTTGACTAGCTTAAAAAATAGAAAATTATGTAATGAAGAAAATGACTGGGCCAATAACAACTTTTAGTCTAGTACTTTGGAAGTTATTCTCATTTTTATACCTAGATGGAATGAAAAGTACGGTCGGGAAATTGTTGATATTTCAGTTATTATCGACCAGTCTTTTTCTCTCTTTTTTTTTTTATTTTTTTATTTATTAGCTTTCAATACAAAGTATTATTATAGCTTAACAATTAAATAAAATGAGAAAAGAAAAAAAAAATAATAATAATAATAAAAAAAATAGTACAATTGATCTTGTATCAACAAAATTACAATAAAATTACAGTAAACATCGTTAAATAAAAAAACCCAGCACAGGGGGGTCGCGGCACAGTGGTGACGTGGCATAGTTGGATCAAGTATAATGATATCTGACAGTGATTAAAATCACTATCAAAAAAAAACGCTTCGATGCAAATCTTTAGATAGTGTTTAATTTTAAAAAATTGGTGGATTATTCCAAAAGCTTCATAAACTGCTAGTTCCTTATTAATATCCTGATTAAGACAAAGTATGTAGAATAAAAAAGAGATTATTAGAAAATAGTATTTCCCATAAAAAAATTATATTGATCAATACACTTTTCAATAAGTTATAGCATTATAATGTTAAAAATGTAAAAAATAAAATTGAGAATTTTCACACAATAATAGCATTTG